GGACGTGCCATATACCTAGACGCTTGTGTGTTTTTTTGCTTAATTTATGGACCCTCATAATTTTTTTGCTGAAACTGCTTAATTTAAAGTGTGAATCAAGGAAAAAACTTTAAATTTGGACGGGCTCAAACGACACGATCACCAAATGGCCGTAATGTTCGCACAATTTATTAATTTTGTTGCATATAAATGAAAAAAATCGTTTTATTTCTACCAGAAAACTCACATCTTATGAGTGATGAATGAATAATTTCAATCATCCAGTGGCGAACTCTATCCGCCACTTCTCAACTAGCAACTGCAACCGAAACACCTGTTATATCTCACCCACTAAGATCTGCGGCGTTTCGATTCAAATAGAACTTCGAATCTTGTTAGTGTATCCGGCGTCTAAGGCAGGAATATAACAAATGACATAAACATAACAAATGACATAACTCAAACCTGACATTCAGTTGACAGTCTTCACTTTCATTTATCAAAGTTTTTTTTTTATGCAGTAGGCAAATTCGGTAAAAAAGCGCACTAATGGATTTAAATCCCGAGCGAAGTTCAAGCGTCTCCAGCCAATTGGAGCTGAAACCATCACGAGTTGTTGGAAAATCCATGCAGAATGGTAAGTGATGACGTTAACTGCATTCAGCAGGAAATATTCTTCATTTGTAGTGGTGGGACTTCCTTATGGTTGGAGCGAAAAGAGCACAATTTCCATAAAACAGTCCCAAGTATTCAAGTCTAACACCTCAACGAAAGCTTCGCTGACCGCAAAATCTTCCACCAAAACCACTGGCAGAGCAGGGGAGAAATTCAAAAAACATCCCGGTGCTGGCGACTTATTTCTGCAGCAGCTCAGCCAAAAAGTCTCTGACCAAGTGGCTGCGGTCCAGAATTTCTGCGATAGCAAACATCTTCTCCAGCGCAACACCGAATCGTTTAAGTGTTTGGCCCAGGTGTTGCTTTCTAGCAGTTCCCTGGCCAAAAACCGACTGTTCTTGTTCCCGCCCTTGGAAGATCCCGGAATTTCATTGGCGTTCAATTTTCAAGGTTTCAACACACGCAGTTTCATGAGCAACTAAAACGCTTTTTGCCCACTAGAGCCGCCACCGATAAACGACGATATTGGCGCGGAAAAGTACAAGAAACTCTGCAGAGAGCTGGAAATTGTGCCCATATCGCGAATCACCAACTCCTTGGAGACGGACACCTTGGATTTGAAGGTAAACTCAAAGTAACGCGAGTAAACTCGAAATCAATCCAATCACAAACATGCTTGGGGTTCAGTACTACGGCCTTTCGCTGCAGCAAATCAGAGCCTTGACTGAGGCGATGAAAGCCAACTCTCGAGTGCAGACCCTCATTCTCCAAGACAATTGGCTATCAGTGGAAATGGCTCAAATGCTCAGCGACATGTTGGAGGAAAACATCTCCCTGCTCAGTCTCTCCTTATATGAATGCAGGCTGGGCGAAGCAGGTAGGTCTGAATCAGAACCACCAGTCCCATCTAGGCTTAAGCACGCGACCCACATAGCAAAATGATATTCCTAGAATATACCTGGATGAATACACTGAATGTCCATGGTATGTTCAGGGAATATACATACATATATGTAACGAAAGAAAAACGATACTTTATTTCCTCTTTTTAGTTTATTCACATATTTAAGTGTTTACTGATGTAATTTTTCAACAACAAGAGTTAGTTGCAACTAATCTAAAACTAATTAAATGGATAATGAATAAATTAAAATATAACATAACTACGGACTAAAAATCCAAATTAACATTTTCAGCATTTTTGCCGTTGTCCCAATGATGTGTGACTGTGAGATAAAACACAAACCTTTATCTAAAAAACTGCACTTATTATTTTATATTGCTTACATGTTCCCGCTCTGTGGCTTTTGCCCTTTCATTTTGTTCTCGATCAATTAAAGTGTTTCGCAATGTGCTCTTAACAAAAATTCTATAAGCAATTACTAATTTGAATATTGGTCACAACAACAAAATACAGTTAATAGTTTTACATTGATAGAAGAGTATTTTCGTTCATTCACAGATTAATCTATTGTGTAGAAATACAGTTAGGTATAGCAATTTGCATTGATACATTACTTTCATTTTACTTTTGTTGCTTTTCTTCGATCCAAGAAAACATGCTTATCGCAAAAAAAATCAACCAAAATTAAGCTGGTAAAAATAAAAAAAATACAGATAATAGTTTTACATTAATAGAAGAATAACTAGGTTCAGACAACCGTACTTGTCTCTTAAGCGAAAATTTTTCGTGTGTGGTTTTCTCACGTGATCCCTAGCGTCTTCAATGCTTCAAGTCCAGAACAGCGGCATCACCTGTATGTACAGAACACGAAATA